CGTAGGGCGAAAGCCTGGTAGTCTCGCCTACGCTCGCGGAGCTAGACGACGACCCTTGTAGGGCGAAAGCCTGGTAGTCTCGCCTAAGCTTGCGGAGCCAGACGACGACCCTTGTAGGGCGAAAGACTGGTAGTCTCGCCTAAGCTCGCGGAGCTAGACGACGACCTTGTAGGGCGAAAGCCTGGTAGCCTTGCCTAAAGCTCGCGGAGTTAGGCTAGGGCGCAGGCTGTGCCCGGTGACGACCTTTATAATTAACAAGGCCGTCGCGTAAAGTTGGGAATGTGAGTCTTGGAAAACTTAGCAATAATTGTGCTAGGTGCAAAAGCCCATTGTCACGATGCTAAGTACTGACAAGGCTTGGTGAATGACGCTCGTCTTGAGCGGGAAGTTGTGGCTATTTGTGTAAGTAATACATTATGCAAGAACGAGCAACTGAAATGGGTAAGTAACAAAATGACGGCATTGCATTCATCCATGGTGCTAGCTAATGGTAGGTAGCATCGAAAGACTAAATAAGTTCACGATTACATGCCCAAATAGAAGGTTCACAAATGAGACTAAGTAAGTTCATGACCAACTAAAAAAGTTCACAAAAGACTGGATGGGTTCATGACTACATGACAAAAGAAAATCGCACGCCAGTCGATAGAGGCAACCCCGAGCCCTGCTACTAGGGAACAATCTCTATCTCGGCACCAGCAACAACGACGGCAGCCTCCAGGGCCGGCTCCCACCAAGGATGGGTCAACGGGAGAGATGGGTCACCATGCCACCCTTCGGGGTTAGGAAGGCCTTTCCTTAGCTTGCCTTAATCCGCGGAGAAGGCTTTGAAGCCTTGAGCATGTGCCTCGGCTTGGGTCCGCTCGACCCCTGCTCTGAAATACTGGAGGCAGTCCTTGACAACCCGCTGGAGGAACACCTTGGAGTCGTGGTAGCGCGCCAATAGCTCATCTCGGTAGCACTTGAGGAAGCGGGTCCCGAACTCCGAGTCGAGGTATGTAGCTCGGGCCTCCTGTTGGGCCTGGACGATGCGCTCATCAAAGGATCGCCGAAGAGCCTCTAGCTCGCCCTGGAGCTCTTCCTTCTCGGCCTT